TTGCGCAGGTTGAAAAACACACTAGAGGCTCAGACCCACCCCCAGAGTTGCCGAGTCCTGTCCAGGGGCCCCCCGGAGGGGAACTTGCCCCCTTACGAAGTCAAGCGGGGAGCAATTAACCTTTCCAGTTGGGACGGATGCTTGGGCCCTTCCTGCCCCCCCCCCGCCTTCACACGAACTGGGGCTTGTCCAGAAACCAGGCACAGCTTGCCAGGGCTTCCCTGATCAGCCCCTGATGGGCCGTCCGGTCCCTTTGCCCCAAAGATGGAACTCCGATTCCATGGGCTGCGGGAAGCTGGTCGTTGCAAAGAGATGTCTCCTTCCCCTGGCACCCCAGCAGCCAGGGCGTGAGCAGGGCTAATTCCCTGGTGGTGCCACGGCACACCTCGGGTGCAGAGGCCCCAACCCCAGCCGTGCCCCGACTCACCTCGGCCCGGGACCAGCTCAACTCCTGTGCGAAGTAACCGTAGCAACGCCCGTTGTGGGAGAGCCAGCCATTGCGGCAGGAGCCAGCTTGGGCACCTGCAAGAACGGGAAGCGGGCGAGGCCCCAGATGTCCACAGGCAGGCTTTGCGTTCTTCCAGAGCCCTGGGTCTTTCTCTCCCCCTCGGGGGACCCAGGGAGTTGAGCTGCAGAAGCCATGGGGGGGGCTGCCCCCTTGCAATTACAGGGAGTTATGCCTGTGCCCTTGGGGGAGGGGGCACTCACTGGCTGTCAGTTGTCCGAGCGCGAGGCACACCAAGAGGCCAAGGCTGAAGTGGGCCATCCTCCAAGTCCTCAGAGCTGCATGAAGAAAGGGAGCCAGCGTGAGGGGGGGGGAGTACGGCAGCCGCACTGGGCGATCAGATACCGTCTTTGGAAGGGAAGGTGGGTGCCCTGCAACCGGCCAACCCCGCCAGTCCCTGCAGGCTTTTGCCCCAAGAGTGGGACCTGCCACAGCACCTCTGCAGTCCTCCTCTCCAGCCTGTGGCGCAAGCGCCCTGGATGCTCAGGGTCAAAGGAGGCGCTGCTGCTGCACTGGGGGGCGGGCAGGGCCCACTCATCACACTAAGGCTGAAGGAGGGAGACCTTCGTTTTGTGCAAACTCAGGTCTGCAAGCCCAGCCAAATCACGCAGCACAGTGGAACCACGCACACAGGCTGGCCTGGGTACGGCTGGATCCCCTCTCCCGGCCCTCCCGGATCTCTCCGGGTGGGTGTGCTGGGAGCCTGTGGCTGGCCAGGCTGGTCCTCCCCGGAGTGGATTTGGGGATGGCAACTGGGGACAACCCCCCCCTCCTTTGGCCAGAAAGGGCCCGGGAACTGGTCATTGGGGACCTGGAGGGACTTCCAAGTGAAACGCCAAGGATGCCAGGCCCAGCAGGCCTTGGAGAGCTCCTGGCATTGGAAGGGGGACCTGCTTTTCCGCCTGCAGAACCGAGTTCCGAGCACAAGAGTTTGAACTGAACCTGGTAGAAATTAAGCTTTGTTCTGGGGCAGCTTCCCCAGATTGGTGCCCTCCGGATGCCACGGCCCCCAACCCG